CTTCCCCAGTCCAAATGAAGCCATAATCCAAATATTCATCCAAATATTCATCCAAATATTGCCGGTTCAACATTTTTTTGCTGCGCTTCGATTTGTCATCAACCCCACTTCGTAAAGTTCCAATATCTCCGCTGGTGCTCGCTTCATCATCATTAATTATGAGTTGTTCCACAGTAGTTTTTCTTTTAAGTTTGAGGAACTTATCCATTTTAATTTATTCGTCTCTAAACAAAATAATGCGGATGAATGCTTCACATTTTGTATAAAATATGCAATTACCTTTGATAGATAAGCCGTACGTAAACGTTATCATAAAAAAACTGACACAGCGATTTTCACGTACCTATTACGTTTGTGCAATAATGTAACAAATTCAACATTCAGTTGCAGACTGTGGCGTGGGTGACTCAGATTGGCTGTGGCCACTGCGGAGCTCAGCGCTCAGCGCTTATAAAATTCAACGTGTGCACTGTGCCGACGGGGTGTTGTCACGTTGGGCAAATGAACATTTACGCTGCACAATTTTTATTACATTAAATTTTATTTTATGCATTATATTACTTTTAATTTTATTAAATTAAAATGTACGTAAGTGGCTATTTTAAAATTTGAAAATATTTATTTGAAAAGAGTAATTTAGCAAAATGGTATGTAGGAAGGAATTCTTGAACACTTGGAAGGAATTCGCGGAACACTAGTGTTCCGCGGAACACCGGTTGAGAACCACTGTTATAAAGAATGGTTATTGGTTATTCATATAAATAAATATGAAATTTATTGTAAAATTTCGTAAATCATGAAATGAATAATAAAACCTTCAATTATTAATGCTCGAAGTCGATACAATGCGGTGTTATATTAATTATTGTATTGTATTTTCCAAGCTTAACAATTATTATAAAAATCATTAAATATGTTTTGATAAACGTTTATCAAAACATTAGTTTTCATAAACGCTTAAAATGAATTATTAATCGTTTTTGTATTTGGTGCTAGGATATCTCCTCCTCGTCATATTTCCGAACAAAGTCACAACCCAAACTCGATTCAGCTGTTCTAACGACCAAATAATCGAAATAACCATTTTGATATATTGGCATGACCTTTACAAAAGTAAATACCAAATGTAAATTTGATTCGTTAAATAGTTTGATAATACATCCGGGTAAAATACGCTGATTGTATGTTTTCTTTTTGTAAAATTTACTCTAGCTATCGACAATCTTAACGTTAATCGTGGGAAAATGTTATATACATATATAAAACATAAATATTATCCTGTCTGTGGAAAAGTCCATCATAAAAGACATAACGGTGATCAATCACAATTACAAACATAAAGTCAAGAGAAGAATTAAGGAAACAAGAGGTGATTAATACAAATATGAAAGAGAATCGCGTCATTTGAACTAAATAAAATAAAAAAATAAGTTGTAAACTGATCTAAAATTTCATTGAAAAATCATCTTCAGCGACGAGGCACATTTTTGGATGAATGTCGGAGCCGTCAGCAGCGAGCGCTATAGGTCGATCATCTTCTTTTGGGTTTTTTTAAGCGGCAGGTATGTACACTGCCGAGCATAAAATTAGGGTCACCCCGTTATTTGAATTTATTTCTTTTTTAGGAGGAAAACTATTTCCGGTTGTAGCATAGTTTATTAATGGATTGCTTGAAAAAATTGTTGTTGTTCCTTGAAATAAATAGGGCCCCTTTAACCTAATTCCTAAAAACTATTATCAGCATAGTTTTTGTTTCTGTAGTTTTAACATCAATTGCAAATTGTTTGTATAATGATGTCACTGTCAGTGTATTGCAATAAGCATAAATTCTGTTGTGGAGGCAAGCATTGTGGCGGCGTTATAAGATGACCACGGTCAGTGCGAAATTGCGAGAAACGTTGGTGTAAGTCTCAAGAGTATGCAACGAGTATGGAGATGGTACGAGCAGGGCAGTCTGCTTACTCGAAGATCTGGTTTAGAACGAGACAGAATTACAGACAGGAGACAACCGCTCTGTCATTTCTAGCGCTTTGAGAAACTGAATAGTCACGGTAATTTCCCTTCGACAACATCTGCAAGAAGTGAGAAATATAAACGTAAGTGAATGAATAGTTAAGAAGGGACTTCATGCTGCTGGTTTATCTTATGCAACTAGAGTAACTGGACCGCCGCTTTCCTATGAACACCGAATTTGCTCGAGAACCCTTGGCTTGGACAATACAGGATTGGAGTTGATTATTGTTTTCTGATTAATGGAGATTCTGTCTTACGGCCTTAGACAAACGTGTAAGAGTGTGGGTGAAGACATCCAGGCGAGAGATATGCGCAAGCATGTGTTGTCAAACGACTTCTATTTGGTGGAGGGTGACTTGTGGTATGGGGAGACATGTCGTTTGACATTCACACAGAGTTAGTATTTATCGAGAATGAGACATTGACTACGCATAGGTACCGCACACAGTTTCTAGAAGACCATGCTTTACTGTTTATGATTATTTTTGGAGACGACGCAACATTTATACATGATGGGATGATTACTGAGTATCTTAACGAGGTTCAAATCACACAAGTCATTGAAAACTTTACAACCAACAAAAAAAGAAGGATGGACTTAATACATCGGAAACTTTAAAAGTTCACATCATCTTCAGAGCATAATCATGAAACGGACTTCACGATCGGGGTCATCAGAATTTTAACCGTGTATCGGTATATGTTAAATTGTTTATCAACATACGATTTGCATTTATGCCACCTTTTGTGCATTAAAATGCGTTTAGGAATACAGTGTTACAAAGCACATTAAAAAGAGTAACATAATTTGACTAAAATGCTACAACAATCATGTTACTAGAATAAAAGATCTCTATGCAATTATTCCAATTTTCTCACAGGCAATCTTATAACATTTTTTTACATACCAAATTACATACATAACAAAACATACCAAATTTTAGTATTTTTATTTAAATATTAAACACTAACAATGATTCAACCAATTAAGATATTTATTATTTTTTATCTCAAACTTTTTCAAGTACATTTACTTATAAGTTAGTTATGATTTCATATATGTGACAATTATTTATTTCTAGTATGTAGATTTTAAAACAACAAATGAAAATTACCAGGAATAGCTGTCACAAGCACATTTAGTCAGGTATATGGGGTAATATAAAAAATATTATCGAAAGAAGTACAAAGATATAAAAGAAGAAGCTAATAAACAAAAAATATATAACACCACAATCCGGAAATTATAACTTAAGGCAGTGAAGTCTAGCAAATAAAAACTAGAACAGGACAAATGCTAAAAGCTACGGAAATGGAGTTTTGGCAAAGATCTGCACGAAAGTCCAGGAGAGAACAAATAACAAATGACTGTATCAGAGAAATAATGAAAATGTATCACAATTTTAGACGATATTAGGACAAAAGCAAATTATATGGTATATAGTCATGTACAGAGGATAACAGAAGATTACCAAGACTACCAGAGCAACTGTTAAATTTGATATCTCCGCAATGTAGAAGATGTGGAAGACCAAGAAGAAGCTGCAGAGAAGGCGTAGATAGGTAAATTAAAGACATCAACTTAGATGAATACACATAGAGAAATAGAAATGTATGTAATTTTATTTTTCTAAATAGTCTTTAGCTCGTGCAATAAACATATCTCAATGATATACCAGATTTGTAGTCGAAAGAAGTTGAAATGTATACACCACCCTGCTAGATATGTATATCATTGTGAGTTATAATATCGAAAAAATTATAATCGTATTTAACTGACTAAAGATCTGGTCTACTTGTAACTATCTACCACTCCCTAAAGCAATAATCTCAACAGAAAAGGGCTAGTGTGACAATCACAGTGAACTATAATTGCCAAGTAAAGTTAAATTGTTTTGAGCCTTTTGACTCTCGATTTCATTGCTATCTTCTGACTAAAAATGATACAGCCTTAGAGGCGTTCATGTATAATCCCACATATGGTAGCTTCGAGCTATTACCTCGCAAATGTCTGAACCTATGGTTATTTTCGTACTGAGCAGGATTACTATTGCAATGACAAGTCATCAGTACTGTTAAACTAAACTGTCTTATGACGGTAAGAGCCCAACTGAAGTCTATGGGTGAACAATCCAATTTTTGGTGGATTCTGCTTTGCAATTGTAGGAAGAATTAACATCGAAGGATTAAAAAATGATGTCACTCTAAATGCTTGTCTGCCACAAATTGGTTATCCCTGCAGTAACTTTTGTTCTTTTCTGACACCTCCTGCTGAAAACTCTTCAAACCCAAAGGATTGCCAGGCCATACATGTTTTCACAGTCCATATACATACTGAACATCAAGATTAAGCCAGATTTTGCTCTACAGGAGGTTTCTGTCCTCACTGAGATGGAATTACACACCTGCGTTATTCTTTGACAGATGCATCACTCCAGTAAAATATCCTCATTTTCACTTTTAAATGTTGCTGGCTGATCCCCTCTCCAAGCTTCACTTTTTGAAAAGACGCTTTTAAATCAATATTTAACATAAAAAATTGATGATTGGTAAGTTGATTTTTGATTCATAATGAGAATGGAACAGCAGAAAAGGACTGGATGCAGATCGCCCAAAATAGAGACCAATGGAGATTAACAGGGGAGGCCTATGCCCAAAAGTGGGTGTTTAAGGCTGATTAGATAGATACATAGAATGAGAATAGAAGAGACAATAAGTTGGCGACAATAATGTGGAAACCATGCCTGCTTCTTGGTAGTTCAAGGTTGCAGTTCAACTCAGCTTTGTCACGAGGTACACAAATTTTATGCAGAAAATAACTGAGAAAGATTTTTATGGGAATATCAATATTGATATTCCCATAAAAATCTTATTGATATTCATATAGATATCTTGCTTATTATTAACTATTTCTACAGTACTTAAGTAAATGAAAAATATAATGAAAACTACTAAATATAAAAATAAATGTATAATACTTGACTTACCTTGGTCCACTTGGAGTAATATCAAACTCTATTTCTTTATTTAACTCCAGAGTAAAATTCTTTTGATTGTCTACTCTTATAGTGAAACTTACATTGGAAACTGATGCAGTAGTAACAGAAACAATGACATTCTCTTGTTTTACTTTCATTTTACTTCCTGTAAATAGAAAATACAAATGGTATACACTTTTATAAAAAAAAAACAATGAGAATTGGCTAGTTTGAGTTTTTAATAATTGTTAATAAATGTTTTAATTCATTTGGGAAAGAGATAATCCAAAAAATTACCTGCAAATCTATATTGTTTAATAATATCATGGCACATAGTTCTAGATGTATAATTTTCATTTGTTTCACCATTTGTGCCTTCTATTTCTAGGGGCAGCTGCCAAGAAATCATTTCTTTTTTCTGTCTTGCTACAATCATCAATGGAGCAGTAACATCTGCATCACTTTCAATCCAAATTCTTGGGGGCAAGTAAATGTCTGGGTCATCCTAAAATATATGTGGATTAGGAACACCTAGAGAATTACATAGAAATAGCCAGATTTTACAAGGCTTTAAAATTACCTAGGATGGCAATACAGTTGATAGAAAAAAATTATTGTTTGGTTCAAATTTTGTATTAGTATCAATGAGTCAATAATAGAATAAAATAAAAAAATAATACCTTAACTATATATTATAACATTATTAACATTAAAGTGAGACTAATTCTTCTTAGTTCATAGTCAAAGATCATTGGAGAAAAATATCTAGGGTAGGGAAATCCCAGAGATTATGTTTTGAGTATTTCCTCTAGGTGTATGGCTACCTTTAGATTTATCCTATTTATGTAATAATTTAATCCTGTAAAACTTTATCAAAACACTTTAATACTAGATACTTACATAATCTTTCGAGAATTCCAAAATATATTCGAGATATTGATTGGCCATCATTGTATTATTTGTTCCATAAGTAAAATGTCTGTAAATTGGCGTATATTTATTCTGTGCATTAACTGAGCAACATGTCAGTAAAAATAAAACCGAAAATAGAAGTAACCGATGCATTTTGATTTCAAAACACTACACTTCCGAACTCCAACAAACTGCAATCAAATTTGTTTAGAATGAAAACTATAGACTCCAGTGCATATGCTCTGGTATATACCCTGAACCTGGAATAACCTGATTATTGAAAATTTGATAAGAAGTAAATTCTAGGAAAATAAACCTGAAGTTAGGCACTTTATTCCCCCCTGTCCCACTTCTTTTTTTTTAATTTTTTTCAAAAACTAATTTAGTTATTTTAACCATTTAAATTCAAAAATCAAATTACAACTTTTGCAAGTATCTTGTGAAGCATTGAATTTGGCATTTCTATATCTAAATTTAAATTTATTAATTATATCGTAGTATCATTGTAGGAAAAACTGAAAAAAAAAAGCATGAAACAGGTCAGAATGGAGAAGAATCCTTGAACAGGCCAAGACCCAAAACGGGTTGTCGAGCCAGTGATGATGATGATCATTGTAGGAATTGCATTAAGAACACGACTACAACTGTACTACGACCAGTCTTTAAAATATGTGCTTTAAAAATAAGTACTTTCATAGAAGTACTCAACAAAATTAAATGTTTTTGTAGCCACATATGACAAGACCATTTCAAGTAGAAGTAGAAAACTGACAGTCCGACACCTGACATTTCGAATTGTCCATCTTAATTTTCTTTTGCAAGTACGACAGCAATCATGGCCGTCGGTAAAAATAAGGGTTTGTCAAAAGGTGGCAAAAAGGGAGTTAAAAAGAAGGTGTAAGTATTAAATATGATTACTAAATAGTTTTAAAATATCTAACCATCTTTTTAGTCTATATTGGAATTGAAAATTTGTTGAGATGTATTAAAATAAAGTGGATATACTAAGTTCATGCTCTACAAACATTTGTAACTAAATTATTGTTTTTGTAATAAAGTATGTGTTTAATGAATAAATTTGTTCATTATTTTAAAGTAAATAGTTCAGTTTGTCTGTTTTCTCGTTAATATGTAATTTATATTAGGATTTTATAGGTTATGATTTTCTTGTTTACAATATTTTTATACAAAATGTGTGCTGTAATCTATTAAACTTTTCGTTTTTTAGTGTTGATCCCTTCACAAGAAAAGACTGGTACGATGTGAAAGCTCCATCAATGTTTGCCACCCGGCAGGTCGGCAAAACTTTGGTTAACCGTACCCAAGGTACCAAAATTGCCTCTGAAGGTTTAAAATTCAGAGTTTTTGAAGTATCTTTAGCTGATTTACAAAATGATAATGACGCAGAAAGGTCTTTCAGAAAATTCCGTTTGATAGCTGAAGATGTTCAAGGTAAGCACATGTTTTTATTCTCTCACCAATAATAACCATACTATGTAATTTTAAAGCTTTATAAACGTTCTAAAAATAAAAAGAGTATTTTAAAAAGGGCCATTACTTGCTTGTTTTGACTACATTCCTGTAGTAGTGTGATATCTGAAAAGTCAGGATAATTGGTTAAATTGGTAATTACTTACATTAGTAAGGATAGTCGAATTAGTCTAAAATTTGGACAGTGGATTATGTTTTATTTTTTATTAACTTTTCAATCTATACATTTTTTTACGCTGAGCTATAGTTTTTCTGTAATTTGCATTTAAAAAACTGATATTTTGACATAAATTTCAAGATGCCGCCGCCATTACAGCTGCTGTCAATGATGTGCGTATGCGTAGTACATACTTCTTGATCCAATGTTGCCACACTTTTCAAATATATTGTTTATTGTGAAAATATTAATTCTCAAATACAATCATAAAGAATAATGATACTGAGTATTATTTCCATTTTCTGTTTCTAAGGGATACATATAACTGTATTTCATTTGTTATTAACTGATGTTATTACGTATAGATTATAGCTTATTTCGTTTTATGTTGTATTTAGTTGGATGCATTAGTTATCAACAATGACGTATAATATATAGACTCGGTGAACGCTTTAAAAAGTGTCCAAAACATAAATACCTTTGTTATTGTTTATTGTTTTGATACGAAGATGCACGAAGTTCATGATTTCTTACGAAGCATCACGAAGTTGATCTTGTGTTTGAAAACATCATGGACGTACTCCATTTTGTGTGACAAGCAAATTTTATTTTAAATTGTTGATAGTTATTTACTTACTATTTTAGTAAAATGCCATACTATTTTATCAAAATAATTATTTCTCTTATAGACGGGAACAAAAAGAAATCGTAAATATTTAATTTTAATTAAAAAAATAATTATTGTCATTAACATATAAATGAGCACGCCGCTGTTGTGATAAACATACCTTCAACCTTGAGCCGAGATCTTTCGGACACTTGATTCTATAGCGAGAATAGGGGACTGCGTAGTCTATATATTATACGTCATTGGTTATCAACTTCTTTATTAGTTTAAATTGTTAGATGATATGAGTAGATTACTTTTTAATTTGTTTTTTTATTGGTACTCCATTTTGCTTATTTAAAGTACGCCGTAGCGTGTTTAACCACAGAATAAGAAACAATCATAATGCTCACTTTGAAATGCCGCCTTTAAAGTTTTTCAGCACGCTATCGCCATGTTGTAAACGGAACCATAGACTCGAATGAGAAATTTGTGACAAGATACGACAAAACTGTAATTTAAATTTTTAGAGATTAATAATTTAGTTAATTTGAAATAATTTTAATAATTAATAATAATTTTGAAATAAATTTAATAATAATTGGATTAGTTTGGATTTGGTTTTATTATGTTATTTAATAGTCAATATCGAGTTTGCAAAAACACTAATCACTAATTTATATGGACATATATTCCTATTAAAACTTAAATTCAATATAGTTACACCGCAAAAAAAAATATTAAATCATATGTGGTACACTTTTAAAAAACAACGTAAATCATATCTACTATACTCTTATTAAAACTTAAATTCAATATATTTACTCTGCAAATAAAAACAATAATAAGTCATATAGAGTATATTCTTATTAAAATTTAAATTCAATATATTTACTCCGAAAAAAACAAATCTATATGTGGCAACATTGAACCAGCGTGGAATATCTTATGTTGTGCGCAAACGCGCTTGACTTGTTCTTCCAAATAAATGAATTTTGGCCAATTTACAATATTTTATATTTTTGGATAATTTAACGGAGAAAATGATTGGTATTTACAATTGATTTATAAATTTTATATAACTTTTACGGCTATTTCGTATTTCGATAATATTTTTCTCTTGCTAATTTTGATTTTCTATAGTTTTTATGAAATTTTTTCAACTTTTTTTACATTTTTTTACTTTTTGTATGTTTCCGTAGACGGAAACATGAAAATTTTGCCTTTTTTTTCATTTTTCAGGCTAAGTCCCCGAAAAATTTCGCATTTTTAGGGACCCTTACTAATGTAAACAATTACCGTTAAATTATTTCTTTTATTGTATAGGTAGAAATGTTTTAAACCAATTTCCACGGTATGGATTTAACCACTGACAAACTGAGGTCCATGGTTAAGAAATGGCAAACCTTAATTGAAGCATCTGCTGATGTCAAAACATCTGATGGATATTTACTTAGGGTGTTCTGCATAGGTTTTACCAACAAAGACCAACTTTCCCAAAGGAAAACATGCTATGCTCAACATACACAAGTAAGTACTTCTTAAATACTTATAAAATTAGTATCATAATTATTATTTAAAAAGAACTATGGACAAAGGAACTAGAGAACATTGTGATGTTGCGAAATTGACATTAAAAATGTCAGTCAATAGCAATAAGATTATAAAATTACTAGTTTACAATTATCAAAAAGGGAAAAAGTAAATAGTAAAATTTCAGTATAAATAATGACATTTTTCAGATGATTTTCACATTTGGTCCCATTGAAGTTAGCCTCAAATTAGCTGTCAATTAAATTTCATAGAATGAAATATTGCGTTGGCAGTGTTGCCATGTTGTTATAATGTATATGTTATATGCTTCAACTACAAAGAGATAAAGCTTTTAAAAGGTACATTTTTATCATATTATTTTATGGATTCTACAATTTTATACCTTATATAAAATATTAATGAAGTAGTATTTGTTTCGTTTGCTATTAGTTGTAATAAATTATTAGAAAAATTTTTCTGCAGTTGCCCTTTGATAGGTTAGCGGATAGATTTGGCAATAGAGTCAGAACCCTCAAACCACCAGCTGCCAGATTGCAACAGATGCCTTTTAAATTTTATTATTTATACTGACATTTTACTAGTTACTGTTAAAAAATGTTTAAAAAACTATTTCCTTTTTCTTTTTTTCGTAATCGTTAAATATTAGTTTTTAAATATCTTATTGCTTTTAATTGTGTATATTTCATTTGTAATGTAAATTTAAACACTGCAAAAAACCAATATTCATTCGGTCAAACCCATTTGAAGCTATCTTCAATGGGACCAAATGTGAAAATCGTCCCATTTTTCACATTTTTGGTCTCTGTGAAAATAGCCTCAAATGAGTTTGACATCGAAATATTATTGTTTGGCAGTGTTGAAATTTACGTTACAAGTGAAACATGCAATCAAAAAAATTAAAAAGACATCTGTTGCAATCAGGCAACTGGTAGTTTGAGTATTAATATTGCCAAATCTATTTACTAATCTATCAAAGTATAATTGCAAAAAAAATTCTAATAGCTAACTGTAATTAATATAAAAGACACAAATATTTGTTTGTGTTTTATATAAATAAAAAATTACTGAATCCATAAACTAATATAATAAAAATGTACTTTTTCAAAGCTTTCTGTGTATATTTGAGGCATACATCATATACATTATAAGAAAATGGTAACATTGCCAAAAACTAATATTTCATTCTATGGATGTTCTTTGTAGCTACCAGCACAGTAACATTCTCTAGATGAAGTCCAAACTATGTATCAGTTTAGCATGATGATTTACCTAGCTCGCATTGATACGAACATGATGAAAACTTGTTCCATATCCAACGCAAAATATGTAAACTGAGATTTAACT